AGGCTGAATCAGGCTCCATCGCTCTGTTTGCAGTTTGTGTGTAATATCCCTTTAAAAGAAAAACTATGGTAGGTGGGGAGAAAGAAGAGGAAATTGCTTCTTCCCCAGAGAACAACAAGGACTGTCAAGGGAAAGACATTTTATGAGTCACAAGAAGCAGTGACAGAAGAGAACTGTCTCAGCAGTGAGCAGGGAAACTAAAAGGCAGTAGGGAGAAGGGAGCAGACAACCAGAATATTACTAGGAATCCACGGGAGACAGAGATTGCGGTAGCTTCGCATTGAGCTAGGGGAGATTTGTCCACAGGCCAGTACTATGTCTGTGCTCTTATCACTTTGAATTATCTTTCCTGAAGTAGGTAGATATCCTACCTTACATTCTAAATTTCTTATATTTGAATTTCTTCATACTTGCATGGGGCAGGTCTAAGTAGATGCTCCTGAAAAGCTTTTGCCAAGTTTCTGTTTTATCCTATCTCATAATATTTGCACAATCCTGCTTCTTCCTTAAACTTTGGTGGGGTTCATGATTTCTTGGGAATTTAGCCAATTACCTACTAATCAGACACTTTTAAAAATGCAATTTACTGTAACTCACCAGGGAGGTGAAAGCCACTTACTATGCCCTGCAGCTGGTTTGTAGTTGTTGAACCAGGTGGGTGTGGAGTAGATGCCATTTTTTGAGCTAAGTGTTGAGATCCATAGAGGGAATCAGAAGGTGACCACCGGACAAAGGCTTCTTCACCATCAAAAAAAATGAGCTGAAGGGAAAGGTCTGGTCTTGATGTGGAGCTGGTCTGTTGGAGAAAGGTAAAAGTCAAATAACTGATTCTGGCCAGAACATTAAAGGGCAAATACTACAGTCCCATAAGCAACATCAGTAAGGGTGTGTTTTCAAACCTTCCCTTGGCTGTTAAACATGCTGCAGTGTAACAGTGGTAGTGATCAGTCATTATTATTTATCAAGCACAGTGATGCGTTCTCCAGTCTCATATCTTTTTGGTTCTGGTTTGAAGTTTCATTTCTGACTTTAGCAGACATGAGCTGAGTGTTGAGGCAGGTCTGCAAACCCAGGCAGCAGAAACATTACCTCAAATAATGAGGAGACATGTCAGTAACAACACTGATGGGAGGGCTAACATTATTACCTGATTATACCACAAGGAATAATGTAATTGCTATAGCTGTGCATCAGTGGAGGTGAATTATGTATTTGTAAAGTTGATGGTTCTTTGAGGGACAATGAGCCATTCTTCATTTCTGTGAAGAATGACCATTTATTTTTCTTCAGGTGAACTTGCAATCACTGAGGCAACTTAACCCTAAAACCAAAGCAGAGTGCCCTTCCCTTTCAGCAACCAAAAATATCGTGGCACTAGAAAGTGAGAATATACATGATTAATGTATTTAAGGTCACTGAAGAGACATCTCTGTGAGATTTCTTCCCCAAGTAGAAGGCACCTGTCTCCTCTCTCTGTTTTCTATCTGAAGCCTTGTTTGAATTCTCAGCCATTCCTAACAATCTACAATGTGACTAAACCCAGTCTGGTTCCACTAAATGAACAGTTTTGGGAACTGTAGTCTGGGCAGTTGCTATAAATATTTTAACCCCTCTGAATTAACACTTCTTGAAGTGAAATTGCATGATGTGGTTAAAAAGGTGGCATCACTGGCAGCAGTCATGTTCTGTATGGGCCACAACTCCCAACTAGCTGTAGCTGAGCCAATATAAACAGTAGTGGAAAGCTTCTCTAAAATGTTGCTCATGCAGGCAAGATGATATTGATTATGCTCACAGTAATATATTGACTTCTCTGATGGCAATGGTTTGCTGCCCTTTGTGTTTTGCATAGGACAGAGCTCTTTTGATAGCAGTCACTTCACTGGAGGAGACTGTATCCATGCCATTTGAATTTGAGAAAGTAGTATTTGTGTTATTACTATTACTGTTTTGACACATTTGAATAACGCAGAGAAATGTCTTTGCCCATTCATTTTAAACTTACTGTATATAACTGGAGAAATATCAAAATCACAGCTTCAAGTCAAAGTATAAACAGATTTGGCTGAAAACGTAACAGTGCTAGCAAGAGCAGAGCAAAAAGGGTCATAGCTAATGTATTAAGCAGATGGATGCCAAAGTATAAATTTGTTCATGAATTGTACAAGTGGTAGCCTGTGCAAAGTAATTAACTGCCTTTTTGTCAAATGCTGTCATCTTATGTGATGAAACAATTTTCATCAGAAGATGACATATTACTAGTGAAAAATGCCAGTCTTTATAAAGTCAGTGTGCAGGTTGTTCCATAAATAACCATCAGGCTCAAGTGTTCTAAATGAAGCTTCTAAATGAAAGTGTATGTATTACAGGAGTGTTTTGTTTTGTGACTAAAAACGTTGACATATTCTTAATCTTCTCATTTTTAAGTATTTGCATGTCAGAAGGCACCAAAGCAGTTTCTGCAATCAACTGTTGACAAGTAATCTTAGTATCTGAGCTGAGTGTATTCCCGACACACTGAAGTGTCTCTCACCTTTGGCAGACCTTCTGTGAAAAATGTTAGTGTGTGAGGATTGTAAATACTGACTTCTGAACCAGTAGATGGCACTCCTGAATCCGTAATCCTGTAAATCTTTGGTTTATAGGCTCAGCAGATCATTGTGCCTAGCAATTGCAGCACTTGGAAGCAGATGTTCGTAGCACAGGTAACACAGACTAGTAACATTATACTTGTTTCATATGTAAACTATTCAAATTGAAAAAGGAAAACAAGAAGAAAGGCTTGAAATCCTTATGGGATGGAGGGACCTGAGTGCAACTCTCCTGCACAGCAATTAGTTTATCCATTTCCCAAAGCAGAATACAACTCAGAGATTTAAAAAATCATAGAATCATAGAATTTTAGGGGTTGGAATGGACCTTATAGATCATCTAGTCCCAAACCCCCCTGCCATGGGCAAGGACAAAAATGCAAGATTCAGAATGCAACAAAACTTTGTCCATGACCCTGGATGTTACTGGATATGACAGGAACTTCTGAGTAGGGTTCTGTGACTTTTAGGTAGAAAGTAGTATTGTATCTTGTCAAGTATGAAATATGCATTATTCATGTACAATTTACTATTTTTATATAGTATATGTTTGTTAGATCATTTTTAGATAGCCATTCTTTTGATAAGAAATTTCAATGTCTGATAATGCACTTTAAAGTAGTAGATACAGATCTCTGTTTTTTCTTGAAGTCAGTGGGAGTTTTATTAGAGGCACAGCAATCAGAGAACCAGGCACGCAGGCTGTGGGAAAGAACGTGGAAGTGCCCTAAGCCCTTTTGCTGTTGCAAAAGCAAATGAAAATGAAGCAAGCAAACTACCTTGATTTGCTGAAGCTTATTATCCAGGGCACGTGCCAACTCCAGCATCATAGCGCATGGCACAGCTGAATCAGTGGCTCCTACAAACACTCTTTTCCTCCACTGTTGTCCAAAGAATTTTGAGTCATAGTGGCAAGCAAGTACCAGATGGCGTTTTGCAGAGGGGTCAAGAGTGCTGATAATATTTGAGAATGTTCGATATCCATATGGTGTGTACCTCTGAAATGTATCTTCTTCAATTTCCCAACCAGCTGCTAATCTTTGGAGACGGTGCTTGATATGCTGCAATTAAACAAAATTAACCAGATTAACATCACTTGCTTCAGAAAGATGTTGCAGACAAACTGTCAGTAGCTAATAGTGGCACTTCAGCTTATTTATCTAAGTTCATAGAATCATAGAATTTTAGGGG